AAGAGGCAACAGCATGGTACATTGCAGTTCAGTCGTACATTGAGCATTGTACTTTGTGCATGAGCATTGAACTTGGCCGAAGTTGATGTGTTCGTTGCAGCTGCCTCCTCAGTTGAGTTTCACTCGCGCTTGGGCATCTTAGCAAAGAGCGGCAAAAGAAGCGTGGGATATATATATATATACATATGAACTTCAGTGTTGAACGGTCGTTTTTCACTCTCAAGCTTCTTAGTGTGGATGCCCGTGGTCGAGGTGGCCCGGTTTTTGACGCTCGGCGCGAGCTCGGGGTGGTTTGGCCTGGCCTGTCCTGCTCATTGCAGTTCATCCCTTGTCCTCCACCTAGCCATCTTTGTGGCTGGCTTTGCTTGCGGCTCCCTGACCGTCATTGGCCTTGGATTTGGATTTGTTGGGGCCCTTCCGTGCCCTTCTGCACATCCTCCTCCAGGCCTACCTCCAGGCCAGCCTCTTCCACTGCTTTGCGCCTTCAGGCGTATCTACATGAGCGTTCTGAACATCCTCATTGAGTCTGTCAAAGCGGTTGCTCTGTCCCTGCGGGCCTTGGCCGATACCCTTGCTCCTCTCTTTCCAGGAAGATCCGCCTCTGGGTCTGTTCCAGTCCCGTCCTGCCTGCGGGCCTTTGCACCTCTTTGCCCTCCAGATTGGGCGACCATAGCTCTGAGCTATGTGAAAGAAGTAGACCTGATCAACTCTCGACGACAGGACAGGCAAGAAAGGAGGCCTACCCAGAGAGCAAGAAAAAGGAGATCAATGGAAAAAGAAGCCACCACGTCACCCAAAGAAGAACAAGCAGGGCGAGAACTAGACAGGCACAGCTTGAAAGCGATTTGTGTGATCCAGAGACATCTCCAAAGCTCGCTCATGATGAAGAGTTGCAGTATCAGGACCTGAACGTTGATGCGCCTGAATGCTGATGGTGACGGGGCTTTCCGATTCCGTGAGCCGGTTGGGTAGTCAAGTTTTGTTCATTGCTACATTTTCTCTTTCAACTTTCATAAGTCATGGACAACCAACTGCGATCCAAAAAGGTGCATCAGCTACGTCTCTGGGTGGTATCTGCTTTCATGTTTTCTACTGAAACCTTGCTGTTTGCCTTTGCACTCCTCTGCTGCCTGCCATTTGTACACACGGGTGGTGCTCGCACTTTTCCAACATTTGTGCAGATAGACAGCATCATCGACATGTCGGGGTTCTTACCCAATGTTCGGTATGCCAAGATTGAGCAGCCCGGTTCCGATGCCTTAGCGGCTTGCTTTTGCCATGAAAGGAGGCTTGCTGCCCAAACAGACTGGTGGGGTAAATGGGAATTGTTTTTAGTGACATGGAGGTCTTTCGACATAGAGGTCTCGGACATTGGTGTCTCGGACATGGGGGCGTCGGAGAGTGCAGTTGGATGGCGAGCGCGCGATGACCACGGGAAATTGCTTTTGTCGCGCGGTGTTGGATATATAGAGGTCTCGGGCATGTGTCTCGGGCATTGGCGTCTCGGATTTGGGTGTGTCGGAGAGTGCAGTGAGATGGCGCGCGCAATGAACATTTTGTCGAGCAGCGAGGGTTTTAGGACATTGTGAGGTCTCGGACATTGGATGTCGCGGACAGTGAGGTCTCGGACATGCAGCCTGAGCACAGGGAATGTGGTGATGCTTCTCCCTCCTCTCGGACGTCCAGGTCTCGGACATTGAGGTCTCCAACGATGCATGCCTTTGCGGGGAAGGTGCTTCCATGGTGCATACCTTTTGTGAGCCACCCGACAGTAAATTTAGAGGGGAGAGGTGTAAATCCAACCGCATACCATTTGTGAGCCACTTGGCCACGCGGGGTAGAATTTAGAGGAGGAAGGTGCCATTCCAACGGTGCATACCTTGTGTGAGCTGCCCAGGCAAAATTTAGAGGAGGACCGTGCTATTCCAACTGCGTGCGTTTAGTGAGCCACCCGAGGGCAAGATTTGGAGAAGAGAGGCGCCGCTCGAAAGGTGCAGACCTTTTGAACCCCCAAGGTAAAGCTTAGAGGAGGAAAGTGCCGTTCCATCGGCGCATACCTTTTGTGAGCCATTTGACCATTTGAGGGCAAAATTCAGAAGAGAGAGGTGGCGCATACCTTTTGTGAGCAACCCGAGGCACCATTCCAAACGGTGCACACCTTTCGTAAGCCACCCGAGGGTAAAATTTAAAGGGGCAAACAAACCCTTCCAACGGTGCACCTTTTGTGAAGTTTTTAAAAAATAAAGAGTAATTTTTTCTTGGATAATTTTACTTCTTACTTTTGGGAAACAGTTAAGATACTTGTAACTATGCCAAAAATTCTGGAAATCTCCAAGTATTTAAGTACATATGCTCATTGTTTCTGGGGCAGCTGGCGCTGAGACCCTTGTGGCAAAGACCCTCGTGGCGCTATCGGCATATTCTTTGGACATTCAAATATGAGATGGTTGGACTGACCACATTTTTTAAGCAAAAATTGCACTGAATGATCTTCTAGCACATAGCACGATGATGAACAAGAACAACCTGCTGGTCGCAAGAATCAGCTTATTAAACGAGACCATTATGTTGAACGGACTCTTCTTTATGATAGGGGAACCTTTTTGGTCCTTAAGCTGCTGGGACGACAGAGTCTATTTTCATCACTTTTACTCTTGTTGCTGAATGGCCAAACTTTGCCCATGAAGCAAAAGGATAAACACACCTTGATAGGTCATTTTTGGGTTGGAACTATAAAGGTGTTTTCTTTAAAGATCCAGACCCACACTTTATCCTTGGTCCAAGGCTTTGATACATTATGTAAGCGCGATGAATCTGGTGAGCCTCTTGCACGCTTGCTGGGTTCTCAAATGTGGCGTGCATTGAAACTGAAATGATTCTTAATATCATTCATGACCAAACTGCACCCCCACAAAAAATAGATCTTGGAACAGGTTCTGGATGCCTACTTGTTTCTACACCTTGATGCAACGGGGGTAGGCGTTGATGTGTCTGACAAAGCCCGTTGCCAAGAAGATGCACATACACGTGCATGGTGGATAGCAGAGCTCAGTCATGTTCCAAGACTGCCCTGCTTGAGACGGATCTTTGGGAGAGGAATACCCGAAGCAAGGGCGGGTCGTCGGTTTCATGGATTGGTTGGGTTCCAACATGGGTTGAAAAAGCCCGCACACACTCTCCCATGGGTAGGTAACCCAGTCACGACGGACCCCAGATCACAAAACACCTCTCTGAAGTTCGATTCCGTCAAACTCCATCAAGCTGGTCGGTGTCATCCTTTTTCGGCCGGCCCAGGTGAAATATTTGTACATATTTGGCCCACGGACATAATATACATGTGTACACATTCGGAATCCTTGGCTGACTTGATGTTATCCTATTCCTGGGGGGGGGCACGGGTTTCCTGCGGGGTCTGAGCCTCGCTAGAGCGCCGGTGGGGCGAGCGAAGTGCGCTCGCACATGCAGGCCTGTGTGGATTGCAGCCCCGGAAGCTCCTCGGAGGAGGCCGCGAATGCCTGCGAGGCATGCGAGCCAGGCGAGAATGGTGTGGGGTTGATTGGGTGGGGATTGGCTTGACTTGAGTCAGGGTCTAGGACCTTTGGCTTTGTAGAAGGTTGTAGCAGGTTTCGATGGAGGGGAGCTTGAGTCGAACTTCACCACAGTGGATTGAACATAGGTGTTGATGAAGCGGGCAGGCAGTGGATTTGCACAGAAAGTGGTTGAACTGGAGAACATTCCACCTCATCGCATTACATTTGCTGGTTAACACCCGATCTCATAAGACCTTGGTCCCGTCATCGACCCAAACCAAACACATGCGATGCCCCTTCTCCGATTCTGCCACGTCTAATGAGTATGGACTGTATGCTGTATGCCCGCTCCACGCTCCTTGAAGTCAACCACCCCAGTTTGCGCGATGCCGTTCCGGCTTCGCATCTTTCAATAATACCGTCGAACTCGCCTCTTTCACTCTCGCCGATTTGGATGTGCATCTTACTGGGGGTCTCCCAGCCTGGATTTGGATCTATTTTCCTTCTTCCAGCGGGAGGCCTCCTTATTTTTGTACACACTCCAAGAACTCTGCTTTTGTCCATGCAGCCGATGCCCGAGGCCGTTGGGTGAACGTCTCCCGGGCGACGGCCTGCGAGGGCTGTCCGGCGGGCACCGCCAGCAGCCAGCGGGGCGCCACCACGCAGGAGCGGGGCGGCATTGCAAGATGGTCCCGTCCCGTTTCTTTCTCACAGTGTGAAACAGGATCCGCAAAAGGGACATTGGTGACGTGTTTTTCTTCCCCCTCACAGGAGTGGTGCCTCCTTTGCGGCATCGGCAACTTCAGCACTGCTGGTGCTGCTGCCTGCGAGCCCTGTGCCGCCGGACGTGCGAGCCGAGCGGTGGGCGTGTCCATGTGCGAGGTTTGTGGTGAGGGGCAGTTCACGCGACTTGGCACTGTGTGGCACATGGCACTTTTCGTGTGACGACGCATGACCCAGCACCACCCATTTTTGGTCGTGGTGATTGGATGGAAGATTACATGGTCTGGACTAGTGACTAGTGTTGCTAATCCTTTTGTTGCTGCTTTGATGTTGGTTTATACTACTTTCAACCGTCCAATCCACCAGTTCATGACTACCAGGACCTTCCAAGTTCGGCGGTTTTTGGACACCCCTTAACCTCTAAGAGGGTATTGATAGACACCTCTTGGTGGTATCGGCCTTATCATAGTACTCCATGAAGGTACCCCCCATGGGCTGCAGTCGGGTTGGCGTCTTAGAGACTCCCCAACCCCCAAACCACTCAACCCCTCCCCACCTTCCCACCTTTCAACCCCAAAACTGACACCCTTTCCGGACACACCCAGTCCCCGCTGCCGTGGCACGACCTGAGGGCCTCGGTGGGCGAAAGTGAGTGCGAACGCTGCCCCGCGGGCCGCGCCGTGGGCCGCAGCGGCGCCAGTGCGGCGGAGGCGCGCCAGGGCGGTGGTCCGAAAGCATCGGCCGCTGAGGCCCGAAAAGCAGCAGTGACCCGTAGAGAAAGGTAGAAACAACAACATCTCGAAGCATTTTCTCTTGGTTTTGGTTCGGATTGTGAACCAGGGCTTCTTGTTTCAATCCCGCAAATGCCGGCAGTTGTTCCTGACCGATGCCTCATGTGATTTACTTCCGTTTGGTTCCAGAAACTTCGCTGGTCAACCAAGCAACCAGCAGTTGTTCCTTTCACGTTCTTCCACATGACCGTCGCTTCGTTCCACCCGGATGGCCGCCTCGGGCGCGACGCCGGACATGGTCATTGGTGCGGTGCCTCACGAGGCCTGTGAGGTCTGTGTCCCTGGGCGCTGGGCTGCCGAGACAGGCACCTCCCAGTGCCAACAATGCGCGCCTGGGCGATGGCAGAACACGCCCGGAGCCACGTGGCAGCGGTCAGGTTTGCGTCCGGTGTTTGGTCAAAGGCCCCGAAGGTCCGCGAAAGAGGGAAAGGACCAGCTGAAAAAGCAGGTTAAAAAATAGCACTTGGGTGTGGTGGGGAAATTGGTGCTGTTTCTGTAGTGATTTTCTTGAGAGTCTTTTTTGGCTGCCGACATGGAGATGGCAGTATACAGGAAAATGATGGACAATGGATCTTCGATCTGATCTGAAGGAATGTCTATTGTACAGGGTTTCAAGGGGTCCTCTTTTGAGGCCTCAAAAGCTTTCTGAGCTCAAACTCCTTGCAGAAATGGCCTGATTCTTCAGAAGATCTCTTTTGACCAGCTCTAGTGGTGACCACCATACCCAAATCTTTTGCGCTCGCCGTTGTTTTTTGGGGGTCCACGGGGGTGCTATTAGCCCCCTCGAGGCCCTGGAGTGTCTGGCCTGTGGGGCGGGGACCTCGAACTCCGCCTTGGGCGCCAGCAGTGCGGCTCGGTGATGGAAATGGGAGGGCAGTTGTACGGAACGACGAACTGGGGCGGATTTCTCGGGGGTTGGTGGATTTGGCGGGTTTAGTTGGTCAGAGATCACGCTGAGAGGGCGGATGATGAAGCTCTCCGCTGTTTTTCCTTGGTGCACGGCAGCGGGAGCAGGGCTTCAAAGCAGGTTATTAGGCTTTACTCTTTAACATTTGACTCTTTGGTTCTTCTCCATCAGGCAGCCATCAGGCACCAGACTGACAGACAAGGACCCCAGGGAGGTTTGGTTCTTTTTGGAACCAGTGGTTGATGACTACGAGTCATAGCCAGAGCCAGGGTCACAGTGTCACATGTGGTTTCGCTAATCTCTTCCCAGCGCATCCCTTCGTCCTGTCAGGAGTCCCTTTGTGCGCCCTGCCCCTTGGGAGCATGGAGCGCTTCGGGCGCCGCGTTCTGCCCCCCCTGCGCCGCGGGGCGCTACGGAGCGCGACAGGGCGCCCGTCGCTGCGACGTGTGTCCCTCGGGGACCTTCAGTGCCGCCGAGGCGCAGCCGGGCACGGTCGGATGGGGGGCTTTCAGCGGGTGGGAGTGGTTATTTGTGCAGCCATGATGCATCTCACTGGGCCGAGTGGCTTTGAAGCAGGTCTGTGAGGTCTTACTGTAGATCTTCTGGATACGGGCAGACTGCACCGAAGCCACCGGCCGACCCCGCCCCACCAGGGCGCCACCAGTGCCGAGACCTGTGAGCCATGCCCTTCTGGGCGCTTCTCATCGCTGGACGACGAAAACGCCGAGAGTGGGGCCACCAGCTGTGAGCTTTGCCCACAGGGACGCTGGTCCGAGGTGGGCACCGCAGGGGTCTGGTTGGGCCGGGTTGGATGAGGGCTGGGCTTGTGACAGTACCGTGGGTGAGGGCACCAAAAAGCCTTGACACAGCAACCAAGACAAGGCAGAAACAAGCTTGGATTTCACTTAACTCACGGGAAATGAGGTGAGATTCTCAATCAAACAGACTGACAGAGCATCTTGTTCAATCTCTTTGACATACATGCGCAGTCAGAAAACCTCGCCGAAACTGCGCGTATATATATATATATATATGCAATCCGTCACGCAGTGATGATGTCTTTTGATAACTAGAAAAAGGTAATCAATAAGATTGATGGACGGTCGAATTCGTGTGCCATTTTGGCTACAAGACGCGTCCCCCCCCCTACTCCAGTTTTTGAGCAGCCATGAACTTCGAGGAGCTGTTCGAGGACGCACGCCCCCAATTAGGGGGAGGAGTTGCGGGGGGGACCGTGGTGATCAATGTGGATGAGGACCTCCCGACGACCGCAGAAGACCTCCAAACGATGCCAGCTGAAGTGGGTGACATACACGAGATGGCTGATCGGCTCCGAGAGATGCAGAGCATGACACTGGAGGACGTGACCAACAACAGGTCGGGGTCGCCAACGGAGGTCATGGAGGCTGATAGCGCAAGTGAAGGAGAGCAGGAGAAGCCCAGCCCCCTGGAGGTCCTCAAGAGAATGGTGGAAGACCGTGACAAGAAGAGGAAGGCAGAAGCAGAAGCGAGCTTGGACATCCATGACATGGGCACCTCAGAGGTCCAGAAGCTCAAGGCACACGTGCCTATGGAGTTGAAGATGCCGTGGGAGCGAGGGTTCGCTGGGTTAGTGCTGAAAGGAGGCACGAGTGTGATGGAGACTGCCTTCCTCGATGAGGACAAGTGGAGGCCTCATGCTATGCTTCAAGATGATGTTGAAGTACGTGGACAAGGAGAAGATCCAGTTGAGTTGAAGCTGAAACCAAGCTTCAAGCCAGATGGGCGACAGAAGATGCCGTGGGCCCAAGCCCTTGAGACTGAGCGTGCAAAGGTGTTCGAGGGCTGGAAGATCGTGATCGACGAGGCCAGGCACTCATGCGCTGCAGCTCGGATGCTCGACCAGTCAGGTGACAGCGTGCTGGATGACATCTTCGCCAAGAAGAAGAATGGAACCTTGCAAGTGAGGTTGAGTGCGATGATGCTGTACGTCCGTTGGGCCCGAGCAAAAGGCCTGCCTCCTTTCCCGCTCAGTGAAGACCAAGTGTACAGGTATGTTGACCAACTACGACGAGATGGGGCGCCGGCCACCAGGGCTAACAGCTTCAGGAGCGCCTTGGCATTCTGCAAAGGCACCATCCAGCTGCAGGACGTTGATCCAGTGCTGCAAAGTGGCAGGGTGACAGGGTCGGCGCATCGGAGCTATCTCACCAAGCGAGTCCTGCGGCAACGAGATGCACTGACAGTGAGGCAGGTGACGACCTTAGAGATCGTACTAGCAGAACAGAATTTCCCCTTGCAGGACAGGATCTTTGCTGGACATTGCTTGTTGTGCATTTATGCACGCCTCCGTTTCGGGGACAGCCAGGGCATTGAAGTGGAGCCTCAAGTCGAAGGTGGGTACTTGGAGGGTGGCACCAGCATCCACAAGACCGACTCGTTGGTGGGCAGGGCAAGAAGGATCCTGCCTGTGGTAGCGCCAAGCGAGGGCATTACTGGAGTGCAGTGGGCAGAGGAGTTGTTGAAGCTGAGGCACATCTCCGGGTTGAGAGCGCTGGTAGGCAAGCCGTTCTTGCCGACACCGGTGCCAGGAGGTGGGTGGAGTCAGGCTCGGTTGACAACTCCTGAAGCGTCCATCTGGCTGTGTGAACTACTGCAGAAGTACACCTGCAGCCCGCAAGTCCTAGGTGATGTTGGTGCGCACTCCCTCAAGGCAACAGCATTGTCCTGGCTGGCGAAAGCGATGGCCCCTGAGAAGGTGAGGAGGCTATTGGGCTATCACGTGAAGCTAAAAGACCGTAGCGTGGTGATCTATAGTCGTGACGCCCTGGCAGAAGGTCTGGACATCCTCACGAATGTGATCAAGGAGATCCGGGAGGGGAGGTTCAAGCCTGATGCACCTCGGAACCAACGGTGGGAGAAGTCTCCGCCGGCAAGCTCCGGGGTAGTCCCGGCTAGCGATGACGAAGGTGACGAGGCATTGGCACCAGGTGAGGAGTGGGACATGATGGAGGTCAAGACACCGGAGAAGTCTGTCCATCGCCTGGTAGAGGTGAATGAGATGTCAAGTGAAAGCAGTGAGGAAGAACCAGGTGATCAAGAGAGTGAAGACGAGCGTAACCTGGAAGCGGTCGTTGTGGCCAAGTTAGGTGCGCCAAAGAAAGCGACAACAGACTTGTACAGACACGGCCTCACTGGGACAGTTCACTGTGGAAGTGTCACCCCAGGCAAGTTAGCTTGTGGACGAGCGATCAGCGCTGTCATGATCAAGCTTGAACAGGAAGTGCATGCATGGGGTAGTAAGTGCAAGGTGTGCGAAGGGTACACCAGGTGAGCTTCCGGACTAGCGCTGCGAGGAAAATGTGGGTGCAAAGCTGAGGTGATGTGTGTAGGTGAGCAGGAAGTGGGTGCAAGTCAAGCGAAGTCATGTGGCACAAGGGAGTTGTTCCCAAGTGCATTCGACCTGACACCGGGTTGTCCGGCAAGGTCGAGTGGTGCGGGGTGGTCCTGCACGCCTAAGTGGTTGCCTCCGGAGGACTGCGGGAAGCGCGCGTCGGGGGGGGGCAAGGAGGTATGGTGCCAGGTGAGAGGTGATCGAGTGAAGTATCAGGAAAGCTTGGACTCAGCAGAACTAGTATGAGTGTGATCCATGTGACCACCCGAAGTCAAGTGAGGCCCAAGGGACGCTGTTTTGTGGTTGTAGAAGCCATGGCCACGTTGACAGAGTCCCATGCGGTCTTTGACGCCAAATTGAGAGACATGGGGTTGGACGGCTACAAGGACGAGATGAGCCGCAGAGGATGGACTACGATGAGCACATTTGCCTTTGCGAGCAGCTGGTCGCCAGGCTCCGGTGATGATCAAGCTTTCATCAATCAAGTGGCAAGGCCATTGTTGGGGGCAGCGGACCATGCGGATCTCCCAAAGCTCCGAAAGTTGTACCATGAGGCTTACACCATCGTGGCCGCAGAATTGCGGAGCAGGCTGGAGGGCACGCAGGAGGCAGATGGCTCAAAGACCAGAAAGTTACCACCGGTGGAGAGGAAGACAAGGTGGGCGCAGTTGAAGGCAGCGTATGCGCACCTGCAGTTGTCAGATCAGCTCGAGCCAGCTCACCATGTGGTGGATAAGTTCCACTCCATGAGGGTGGATGGAGAGTTGCGGTATTTGGCACCGCATGAAGTGCCCACAAGGGATCAGGAGCTTCACAATGTGAAGACGGAGGAGCTCATCAAGAAGGACGCATCAGGACACTTGCGAGCACATGATGAGACAAAGCTCCCAGAGGCAGATACGCGCACGGATTTGCGCCTGAGACAGGCATACACCAGGAGGGGCTTGGCACTGGAAGTGGCTGATGTGATGAGCTTCACGGCACACGAAAAGTTGATCGACAAGATGTTCCAAGAATACCAACGAGAACCTCCCATGGGCTACGTTGGTGTGACTTTGTCCCAGGTGGCCGCGGCAGACAGGAAGGCATGGAAGTTGATGTCCGAGGAACTGCAAGGAGATCTTGGCCGTGACGGGACTGGCAGGCGCCTGGCAGACGCGGCCGTGGACAGGGTAGTGGGCAACCCGGCTTTCTTGACCATCCTGTTGCCACTGCCAGGCACGAAGGGGTCAGCTGCAAAAGATGAGCCAGCCCAGGCCAGTGAAGTGACTGGCACCGGGGTGGGGAAGCGCAAGCTCATGAAGGAGAATCAAAAGTTGAAGGAACGCCTTCGTGAAGCAGAAACCAAGAAGACCAAAGCCAGCTCGTCAAACCAGGAGGCAGAGAAGACAGTGGCCCCAAAGAAAATGCCGATCAAGATGCCGAAGGAGTTGTGGGGCTTCTCACCGATGAAGCATGGCGAACGCCTGTGCTACGGCCTCCAGCTCGGGAACTGCAAGAACGGCAAAGATGGAAAGTGTGGTAAGGGGCTGCACATATGCATGAAATGCTGGAAGCAGGGCCATGGAGCCATGCAGTGCAGCCAGTGACAAGAGGTCACAGACGAAGAGCCCACAGGCCAGGAGGCAGAGGCAGTGTGGGCAACGGAATCGGTGTCCACCAGGAGATCTGCGGAGGGCCCCGATACCTGTACAGAAACTTTTCAAGAACCCAGGTACAGTCCTGGCAGACTGAGTGAAAACGTCAGTGGCGAAGTGCCGTGCACGTTTGAGTTGTTTGCCGGATCTTGTAAACTAAGTAAGTGTTTGAAAGCACACGGCTTTTCTGCAGTAGGCGTCGATCATAAGAAGTGTAAGAATCGAGTTGGACCCTGTATAGTTATGGACTTGTCACATGAGAGCAGTGCACGTTTTATAGAGAAGAAGGTCGATGAGGGCATTGTCTATTTCATCCCAATGGCACCCCCATGCGGAACAGCTTCGCGAGCACGTGATAAACCGATCCCTCGTTGGCTCCGGCAACAAGGAGTACCTTCTCCACCACCACTAAGGAGTGCGGAGTACCCCAGCGGGCTGCCGGGGTTGAAGGGGACAGATTTGACAAGAGTCGAGTTGGCTAATGCATGTTATGCCACGGCTGCACGCATTTTCAAGTATGGGCACTCACGTGGTGTCATAGTCTTCATTGAGAATCCCACCAACAGCTACATGTGGATGGTACCATGCATTGCGGCGCTGTTCAACCTGTCAGGTGTGTACTTCACGACGTTCCAGGTGTGTATGCATGGGGGGGAGCGGGACAAGAAGACGTCTCTACTTCACAATTGCAAGCAGCTGCAACAGTTGGGAGTCATGTGTGACAGACAGCATGCTCACAAAGGGTGGTCCGTGAGCAAGTCCCTATCTGGAAAGTGGCAATATGACACCGCTAGTGAGGCAGAATACCCCCTCCTCCTATGTCAGAGGATTGCTGCTATCATCAGTCAACTCGCCCATGCACAGAACCTCCCAATCCACCTTGAAGCTCGTTCCACTCCCTTGGCGCAACAGGCATCAACCGCATGGAGAGTGGCGGCTGGGCGCCAACCTAGGGGGAGGCGAGCACAGGCAATGCTGCCCGAAGACGGCCAAGTTGTCGAAGTCGAGGTGAAAGGTGCCCGTGATTGCCACAAAGTTGCTAATTGGAGTGGCCGCTCCAAGACAGATACCTTTGTTGCAGGTCGAGTTTTTCCAGCCGGTACCCGGATTCTTCATCGTTTTCCGTCCAATGAGGGGGAAGATCACGGGGACGAGCATGACGGAGGTGCAATGAAAGTGGTTTTTGGCATCCCAATGACCCCGGAAGAGGCAGTCAGGCGTGCACACCTACTTCAACATCCCTTTGATACGACCTTCCAGACGCCAGACCATGTGTTAGACAGCATGTTTCAAGTGTTGACCAAGGGGTCTCAGGAGGTGCACGATGAGAGAGTGCGCAGACTGAAGTGGATGAAGGCGAAGGTCGCCGAGCTGGAGGGACAGGAACATGAGTTGCATGCTGGTATGGAAACCAAAGTAGCAGAAGTGATGGCCCCCAAGAAGTTGCTGTTGTTTGCAGAGCTGATCAAGATGGTTGGTTATGCCGACTCACACCTCATCGAGGACATGTGCAGAGGCATGCAGATAACAGGGGAAGGTAGGGTCACAGGGTGCTTTGCGCAGGAGTGCAAGCCACCGGTGTTGGATAGAGAAGACTTGTGGAGGGGGTCGAAGTCGGCCCAACGGGAGGTCGAGGCCAAGATCCCCAGGCACATGGCAGGTCGGAGGGTCGAGGTGGCTGGAGAGGAGGTTGAAGTGGCACAAGAAGTGTGGGCAGCCACCATGAAGGAGGTGGAGAAAGGGTGGTTGGCAGGTCCCTTGTCTGCATCGCAGGTAAGTGAGGTAGTGGGTCCGTTGTGGACCCCGAGCCGGAGGTTTGGCATCGTGCAAGGAGCTAAGGTGAGGAACATCGACGATCTCAGCGAGTTCGCAGTGAACCAGAGCTACGGCCCAGGCGAGAAGCTTGACTTGGGGGGCGTCGACGAGGTGGTCTCGTTGGCGGCCTCGTGGATGCGGGCTTTCGGGAAACAGGGGGACGAGGTGCAAGTGCGCCTCTCGAGCGGGTTGGTGCTAGAGGGGAGGAAGTGTGAGGAGTTTAGGGGTGTGGGACTGCATCTCAGTGGCAGGTGTCTTGACCTAAAATCAGCTTACAAGCAGCTAGCCCTGTCACCGGCCGATAGAAGTTGTGCAGTGATTGCAGTGCTCGACCCAGAGGTGAACAGAGTGAAGTACTTTGTGTCTTACGTCCTCCCCTTTGGTGCAACGGGGTCCGTGATGGCCTTCAACAGGGCTGCTCGGGCGTTGCGCGAAGTGCTCCAGAGGTTCTTGTTCCTGCCGGTTGTTAACTACTTCGACGACTTCCCGCATGTTGACCTGGAGAGGATGGTTGTTAGGTCCCAGGTGGTCATGGAGGAGGCCTTCCGTGTGCTCGGGTGGGGAATAGCCGAGGAGGCGAAGAAGAGAACACCGCCTGCTAGGAGGTTGGTCGTGCTCGGGGTTGTGATCGACCTGAATCAGTCCCAGGATGGGGTAGTGGTTGTCCGCAACAAGGACGAACGGGTTGATGAGTTGGAGGCAACGATCACAGAGGTCGAGTCTTTGGGTGTGTTTCCCCCGGCAACCGCAGCCAAGGTATACGGGAGGTTGAACTTCGCCGAGGCACAGTGCAGTGGTCGGTGGCTAGCTCCCTTGCTGGGGCCAGTGAAACAGAGGGCGCTCATGGCCAGGACAGTGAGAGGGGTCACGAGGGAGATCAGGGAGGCCTTGCAGACGTCAGCAGAGTTGTTGAGACAGGCCCCACCTAGGAGGTTAGAAGCCGTGAATGGTGAAGAACCGTGTCTAGTGTTCACTGACGGGGCCTACGAAGATGGTGTGGCCACTTGTGGAGCTGTCTTGATCTCACCTAGGCTTGAGAGAGCCATTGCATTCGGTTTCAAGATACAAGACGAGATAGTAGCTGACTGGCATGGATATGGCCATGAGCATGTCATCGCCCAGGCGGAGATGCTGCCGATTGTGATAGTGAAGTGCCAATTTGCTCCCTTGTTGAAGGGGGCACGTGTCTTGTACTTCATTGACAACGAAGGAGTCAAGGAAGCGCTTGTAGCTGGGGTCACGAAGTCAGCGCATGCTAGTCGAGGCCATGGTGAGAGATGCTAGCAACAATAGTCTCAACTGGTACACTCGTATAGCGTCACCTAGCAACATAGCCGATGCACCGTCGAGGTTGAGGTGGGATGAGTTAAGTGGGATGATCGACTACGTCAAGGTGAATGCCGAGTTCGACTACGCTGAATGGGGTAGAGTCCGGGTAGTCTGAATTAAGAAGTGATAAGTCAGGTCC